CTGGGAGGAATATTCTGCTGGATATCAGGAGCTGCAACCTTAGTCCCAGTGTCTTGGGTTGCTCATACCACTGTGCAGGAATTTTGGGATGAAACTATTCCAGACATCGTTCCAAGGTGGGATTTTGGGGAAGCACTTTTTATAGGCTGGTTTGCTGGATTCTGTCTCATTTTTGGAGGCTCATTGCTAAATTGCAGCATCTGTTCTGTTGATACTCAATCGTCCTCGGTCCATTATACAGTGGCAGGTGTGCTAGATGCTTGTCAACACTTGGAAAGTAACAACAGACCCCAAAGTCTAAGAGTTTGAGAGACACAGGAGAGCCTATTTTTCCTCTCATGCACTTAAACACAGTGTGGAGAACCTTATTCCAATTAAGATTAAAGGACACTTTGTTCCTTACTTGATTAATTACACTTGAGTTTCTAATATTTTTCCTGAACTTTTTATTTCAAGAGTAGTGTTGTCCTTCTTATTACAAGGCTGAAAATGCTGGCTTCACAACAAGAGTAGATTAAAATGACTATAGAAAATGTCATCATATATTGTTGTCTACTTCAATTTAAAATGTACTGTAAAAACAAGAATATCCAAAGCTCAAATAAGTCATAAAAATATCAATTCTCATCTTACACAATCATACACTGCTAAGTTTGGTACTTGATTTTCAGAAATAGTTTTGTTTCTCTTCTGTCTTAAAATTCAACGACTATTATCATTTAAACTTTCTGCTACAAATTCAAATATGCAGCAAAACCTTTAAATAAACCTTCAACTAGAAATGCTGGTTAGTAGAATTCAGTTGTATCTACAGACCAAGATTCATATTAAAGCATGGAAAACATCAAGGTTTGCTGTTGCCTCTACTTATTTTTAAGATACAAGGGAGTAGCTAACAAAATATTTTAATTAGATGTGAAATACTGGTATTGTAAAGAATCGGTTCTGTTGTGTTATGTGTTGTTATTTGAGTGTTAAGTATATATGATCCCAATATACTTTCTAAAGTCTGAGAAAAACTGTATTAATTTTACTGTGTGATGACAGCATTCTTTTTTTGTTTACATATTTTAAAAACTGGATTGCTTCCGTGCCATCCATTTATAATGTGTAATGTCTTTTATTAAGCAGTTCCAAGTTACATAATTGAATTTGCAAACTTAAGAGTGTTAGGTTAATTATATTTGTACTTATCTGGAGGAAAACATTATTGAACTCTGCGGATTTGCTTCTGAATGAATATGAATTCAATTATGTAGTTAAATCGATCCAAGTAAGGGATTGACTATTGTTTCCTAAATAGAAGTAAAATATTAATATTTGAACTGTATTTTTGGTGTAGAATGGATCTTATGAGTCTAATACTTTTGAAATCATGATTTGTCATTTTTCTCTATTAAAATATCATTGGAAAGAACAAATAATCTAACTGTGAGAACATTTACAGCACAGTACAGTACATATCTGTACAGAATTTACAGACAGTAATAACACAACATTTCTTCACTGTTCCCCAACTCAAACTCTATCAGTTTATTCACAAATGCTTAAACTTGCATACTTCTGATTATATTGCTTAACGGAAATGTTAATGTTATTTTATAAGAGAATATTGTTAAACCTATTAAGTAGCTTACAAGGCTAGAATAGCCTTTTTATGAAATGAAGGAATGTGCTCTGGAAAGTTACATAGGTAGTGCAAAAAGGAAACAATGGATATAATATAAAATATATATTTTTTCTTTTAGCTTTGCCTAAAGAAGTCAACATTTACAGAATTTTAACACTCTTCACAAATGGACAGTTATCTAATGTCAGAACATCAAGAATAAAAGCTACAAAAAGTGCTAGTTGTATAAGCATTGATGTGCTCTGTTGCTCTGAAGTATGCCCACTGTTGAAATTTGATAGGAGGCTACTCAAAAGATTGCTGTCAGATGGGAATATGAGAATACACTGTTCATTGGTTACCAGTAGATTTCTACTTCTCTGCACAAAATTGATCATAATTCTTTTTGTTAGGCCACAGAAGAAATGCACAGAAGAGTTAGTCTTTTTGACAATTGCTAAATCATTTTAAACTAAAAAACAATCTGCCAAGTATATTTAAATTAAATTTAGGATGAAAATCTATTTCTTTTTAGCATAAAATCTAATTTATGTAGTTTTATTTGTATTACTAGTTAAATGGACACATTTCACTGTATTATATAAACGGATTTAAAATATTATTACCTTATCTATCATATACATATCTGTTAATATTGGAAGTGCCCAGATTTCTAGTGTCATAAAATGTATTTTTAAAAATGACTTTTCTGTATTACAAAGCCCATTTCCCATTCTGAAAATAGGGATTGATCTCAGTTCCATGAAAAATTGCATTTAGTAATATAAAATAAAAACAGAGCATGGGCTTGCTGCAGTTCTGAGTTTCAGATCCAGTCAGTTTTATATTACATCTTAGTGTGTAAAATGCTATCAGGAAAAAAAAAATCATACACTCTCATGGATTATGGCTTGTGTAGGACCTCACTTACATAAATACAGCTTACATAATTATTGTTACTCAAGAAACAACCCATCCGTAACACTGATTAATGGACCACTATTATTACATAGTCTTATTGGTGAATGTTTTATGTGAACATTTGCACAAATCACATAAACTTGAGTTAACTGGTATTGGTAAAGAATAGAAGCATGCAAAAGTTACTGTTAAAAAACTGTATTTTTTCAAATCATTGAAACAATTGAAAAGTGCAGAGACAAAGGTTAATCTAGGTGATGTGTACATATACAGACAATATTAGGATAGAAGACATTTGTGATACAACCTGATTAAATATTGAGTTCAGTTCTGAGCATTTAATACTTAAATATAATATGACTGTATAAAATGGAAGTTTATTTTCACCAATAAAATATTTGCTAACACTTTGTTCATTTGGCTAAACAATATTATATAATACTTGCAATATGATGTACAGTATTGTACTGAAGTAATGATAATCAAGACATGATTACATTTATTCTATTTTCTGATAGGTAACTTCTGTGATAAAATGATATTAGTATAGCATGAGACTTGACTGGTATTTCTCCATGATCAAATATGTTTCAGACGCTGAACAGATTTTGTGTAAGATTTTCAGGACTTGTTTTCTTAAGTATTAGTCAAAATTGCTGCAATTTTAGCATGTGAAAGAAGACATGGATAGAAGAACCTTTTTATAAACAGCCAATAAAAATTGTCTTGCCAATTTATTTATTTATTTATATTATTATTTTTGTTTCTCTCTAAATATTGTTGCATACCTTCAGAAGACAAAGAGGGAGGTATATTTATATGTGTCCCTAAAACAATTTGCATAGTAGCTTTCTTTAACCCACACATTTAAATGTGCAGAACTGAACTATATTAAGCTGTACTGTACATAAATAAGACTGAAAATAAATAAATCACAAGATACAACTCTATACATCATTCTAAAACATTATTATACTGTATTGTCAAACTGAGAAGCTGAAATTATCAGCCTTCATTTCTATATTAAATAACTTTGTGACTTCAGCTTTTAGACATTGACCTTGACAGAGTAAATGGCATGTACATGTTTAATTCACTTCTAAAAGGGGGGTTAAAAAAAGGGGGGGCACCCAGGAAATATTAAGCACAATTAGTTTCCTATCTCCAATTAGAAGTAATGTTGAAAAGATCTAAATAATTACACATAGTTGTGCATAATAATAAGACCCTCTGGGAGATTTACAAAAATAAATTAAGACACAATAATTTATTTCCTTCTGTAATTCTAAGGATGGCAATGAACATACTGTAAATGTTCTCCTATTTTTTTCAACAATGCTATTTCAATCCTTGAAAAATAAAATACAGCATGTCAATATACAATTATGTTGCAAAATGAACAAGTACACAATTAATAGAAGTATTTTTGTTTCATCTGTGGCTTTTTTGTGTGTATGTGAGTATGTATTTACATGCTGAACTATGTGTCACTTTCATCAAATGGCTTTTAAACTGCCTAAATAACTTTTATATTCTCATTATCTTATGTTCCATAGCTTGGAAGTATTAGTTACATTGTTTAAATAGCCTGATCTTATAAACTGAGAAGTTCTCTTTTAGTCAGTGGGGAGTATGGCATGCAGATTTAATTTAGTAAAAGAAAGCTACCACTACTAGCTCTTCAATTCCTTCTTAGATAATTAAATGCCTTGCTTTGGTCTGATCTACAAAATGGTGACATCCCAGCTGAAATAGAGTGTTAATAGCCATGTATTCCATGATGATGACATCAAAACTAATCAGTACCTGGTTATCAGATGAGAATTACCAAGGGAAGTGAGAATGCCAAGAAAACGTGTGTCTGTATTACCGCTATGCAAAACCCCTTGATAGATTGAATGAAGCAAAAACCCTTGATAGACTGAATGAAGCAGACTGAATGAAGAGATCCTTCCAAAGTTTTGGCACAGATTTTCTAGACTTTAAACATGTTCACAGACTCTGCACATGTGTATACATGTACAACTGAAGGTCAGCTAGAAAAGTACCTCTACATAGAATAATAATTGATAAAGCAGCCACTTGCAACTTGAGTCTCCTGGAAGATCTGCAGTAGCTTCCTCAGTGATTTGAGAAATAGGGGGTGGCGTGGGATTTCAGATGTGCCCAAATGTGCTTTGTGAAGCACCTTTTCAAATCAGAATGGGACATCTTGCCACAGCCACCTCGCTATGGCCAACTTGCTATGGGCAATTTACCATGGCCAGCTTGCTGTGGGACAATTTGCCACAGCCAACTCAGAACAACTTGCTATTGAGCAATTTAACAATTCAATTTAATTATTTAAAATAAAATTAAAAATATTTTAATTTTTACCATTCACCTTTCATTCTGTCCCTCCTTTTTCATCCTTTCTTTAATGATTCTATTCCACAATTTCTTTGATATTAGTGTAACTCTTGTCCCATGGTGAGTTGGCCATGGCAGGTGGTCACGGCAAATTGTCACAGATCCTTTTCAAATACTTTGCCTATTGCCTATTGTAAACTTGTAGCCAGAAGCTGATTTTGGGGAATAATCAATAAAAAAATCACTTTGTATTAAATCTGTTGCTGGTTAAACAAACTAAGATTATTGATCATGTTTAATCCTTATTGTGCCATAATTAATTTAGGTACCAACTTACATGGTCTATTTAATCGTAACCCAACTAATATTATTTTAAGTGCTCATTATCAAGGTTTCTTAGAAGAAATCTCTATAACAATAATATACAATGGGTGCTTAGAACAATGCTTCTCAACTTTGGCAATTTTAAGATGTATGGGATTCATATCCATGATTTCCTCAGCATTCTGGGACATTAACTCCACACATCTTAAAGTTGACAATGTTGAGAAACACTGCCTTAGAGAAATGTATTTGTTACAAACAATTCTTGTGAAAATGGGTCTGTTTGGGCTTCATGAATGTAACTATTTTAATACTTACTAGATATATTTACATATTAGTTTTAATTTTTATTCTTTGTATGCTCAGGTTTGAAACTGAATTTGAGTCCATTTCCCTAACACAGCTGCCATTTGGGTATTATCAACTTTAACACATGGAGGGTTATACATACTTCCCCCGTGTTCTCTCCAAGCTCTTAGATACAGTGAGACATGAAATACAGCCCCAACTTCAGTATATTCAAAAAGGATACTCTTCCAGCTTAGTATTCTAGACCTCTTCCTTCATTCAAAAAAAAAAAAAAAAAGGTAGAAAGGGAAAAAGTTTTTTTTGTCACAGTTGAAAGTTTCCATGTAGACAGCAGAAATCTAAACAGCACCTGTATGCACTAGACAGATCTGCTGGCATGAAAGAGGACTCACATTTCCTGAAAGCTATGTACACACTACTACTACTACTACTACTACTACTACTACTACTACTACTACTACCACCACCACCACCACCACCACCACCACTTTTTTTCAAAACCTTTTAGATGGCTCAACAGCCATTTTCACAGTCTGTCCTTGTGAAAAAAAAAATAAGCAGGGAAATGAAACTTATGGGACACATTGCATGATATGTAGAGCAGCAGTGCAGTTCAATGATATATACATACTAGGATTTCCTTTGTTCTTACATATACAAACTGTACAAAGTTAGTCTCATTGGTGTACCTAATGCATTTTGCTGTATATTTCTAGAGAAGAGACAGAGGGAATAGTTTGCATGTCTGAAATGTTACATTAGAGCATAGTGTTCTGTATTTTATAAACAATATCTACAATTGAATTCAAAAATATGTCTTTAAAAGATTGTAGAACAATAATATAAAAGCATTCACTTAAAAAAATGAACAACACCTTTGATGCAAAATATTGTTAGACATCATCAGCTGGTAGAGCTGGTATGCTTATTTTAGCTCTTGTGAAGTATGCCATCTTCTCCCTTGAAAATATAAGGAGAAACAAAAATGTATTTAAATGTAAAACAATATATAATAGACTCCAATACTAGAAGATAAAAGAATAAAGAAGCAAATGATATAGTGCATCAAAGCATTATGTAACAAATCCTTAGGCTTTTAATATACAGTGATTAGAAATACAATTTAACTGAGTTCAAGTGGGGCAGTGCTCAAATGATATTTCTGTAAAATATTTAGTTTTGTGATAGGCCACTTAACTAGTTTAGAAAGTTATGGGAGACACAATGTGCCCTTCTTCTACCAAGGGCTTCCATAGTTTCTCTCTCTACATGGAAAGCAACATGGTGAATAAAAACATAAATGTTGATTACACACAAAGATTGGGATTTGCTTTGGGAGATTTAAGTTTGCTTTGTAGATTGGATGAATGAAAAGGATAAGAGGCTGCTTACAAGTGTGTTGCATTCCAAGGAAACAGAAGAGACAGATGCAGGAGCAACTTAGTAACCAGGGAAGCCAATATAGAGGAGAGTGCAATGAGATACCCAGCAAATCCAGCAGAGTCAGCTTCATTACTCACCCCACTGGATTCTGTTAAATACTTGGGCAGTATTTGTATGTTAACAGTGGTGGTGGTGGTGGTGATTCTTGTTTACCTTAACTGGCATCAGGTTTCTGTTTGTGCAAGGTTGGCTAGAGAGTCTATCTTTATACACGAGAACAGAGTAGACATAGTGCAGCAATGCCACTAAGCTCCTTGGCACCTTTATTCTACTTTCCCTGCAAGAAGCAGTGCAGAGTGGAAACCTGAGATATGGCTGGAGAGAGCTGGGGCAAATGGAACAGAGACAGCTTGACTCACTGAACCCCGCTAGATCTCTACCTGACTCTGTGGTTTCTTCCCCAACCCCAAAAACTTTAACCTTAGACAGTCTATTATTGATCTCTCCCCTTTCCTAAGAGGTCTGTAGGAGGTGTGCATAAGCACATCAACGTGCCTACCGTTCCTGTCCTATTGTATCCTATGACTGTCATTAAGTGTTGTACGTTATGATTCTTGATTCTTAATGAATGTACCTTTTCTTTAGGTATACTGAGAGTATTTACACCAAGACAAATTCCTTGTGTGTCCAATCACACTTGGCCAATAAAG